TCCTGGGCAGGGAAAGTCCTCGATTACAACTGGTTGGGTAGTCCTCGACTTACGAACAGTTGGGTAGTCCTCGACTTACAACCGGTTGGGGTCGCGGCATTAAAAAAAGGTTGAGAACCACTGGGTTAGGCAGATGTCTTTCCCAGACTAAAGAAAATGCCCAACTTTTTATGATACAGAATTTTTACAACCCATTTTCTTGTTACTTTAATCTGGAATTTTATTATATGTTTGTATTTATGTATTATGCATATGTCAGGTCAAAAGGTAGGCCAGATCATGAAGATGACTCCATAGGAAGACTGGAACTCTACTTCATTGAGATAGGCTACAGTAAGAGTGTCTTGCAAGTTAGCTTCTGTTTTTACCTATCCTTGGTTTGACTCAGGGAGGAAGCAGTTTGAGCCTTTTCCTAATATTATCTTTTTTCTGGGGCTTTAAGGAATGTCATTGTTTCTGTAACTGGCTTCTAAGTATTCCCTTCAAAGCCATCTCCATGGCTCTCTACTTCTATCCATCTTCTTCCATCTCACTCTCTTGGATTGCAATTCACTGCTGAAGGTTGAAGAGCATCACGTTATCAGAGGACCATTTTAATTTAATTGTTCAGGCTTGTTTCTGCTACTGCTAAATTTTATTAAAATGAAAATATGACTGAAGCTTTACTGACAGCCTTCAGAATGTAAATTTCAACAAGAATCATAACTATGCATGAAGAAGGGTTTACAACAGTTTCTACAAGAGTTGGGAAATCTTGTACAGCAGGAGAATATAACATAAGGCCTGCAAATATCTCTTTTATGGCTCACCTATAGTAATGTTTTCTAGATTTAGGGCATACCCCTATTATAGAACTACTTTCAGTTGGACTTAATAGTTATTTGATACTATGACAATACTATAATTTACATTTTTCTTTTCCATGCGTACATGTTTATATAAAGTTTCTACAAAATGATCTCACATAATTATAACATTAGCCATCTAGAGTATAATTCTTAAATATGAGCTGCAGATGCTGGTAATATTTGAAAACTGCTACTGTACCAGTCATACTTGATCCTCCATTGAATATGTTCTTTATACAGCCCTTCTTTGTGAAAGTACAAAGCACAATAGAAGTGCATCATCATGGTATTGCCAAAAAGTACAATCTGTCTCTCACAAAGTGTTGGGAATGGTTCTAAGAAGGTTTCCAAAAATTCCCTCTAAATTGCTATTTTTAATGTGAGATATATGGAAAATGATTAGAATCTTGTGAAATAACCATATGAAATGTGTTGAAACTAATTTTAATTAAATGTGAATTAAATCAAATTTAATCTCTTTCTTGGTCAATATCATTATTTGGGGTATGCCTCCCCCAATATCTTCAAATACAGGTTTGCATGAAGTTTGAAAAGTTTTACTCAAAGTAAAATTGCTAAAAAACCTTTAGTATGTAAAACTAATAGAAAATCAACAATTACCGTACAATACAATATGTGTCCAGCATGGCTGTGCATGTTTTTGGTATGCTGTAGAAATACTTATTTGAACCTCATATAAACAAAGCATCTTCCTATTTTAAAACCAATTAAGCTGAAAAAGGCAAAGCTATTTTATGAGTTATTTTAATAAGTTGTTTCCTTAAAGCAGCTGCATCTTTAAACAGATATATGCCAAAAACAATGTATGTTTAGTAAATATTAAAGAGATTATGTACTCTTTCAAGGTCCAAAGGCATTCTTCCAAATCATTACTGAAGTAATGCAAAATTAGCTTATTCCAACACACTCAGAAGATAAAAAGTTAGAGACTCTCCAAACCAAATGTTGTTTCTCAAAAAGCCTCCAGGCAGTTTTTCTAAGCTTTCCAGCTTCTGTCTGGCACAGCCAAGGTCTTCCAAAAAAATACATTGCTTATCTACCCAGGCCTGGACGTTATGTATATTCTGTCTCAATATTCCAACATTCAGCACAAACAGCCCTCTGTTCCTACATGATAAATCCCAGGCAGCCCCAGTGTGTACCACATATAAATTCAGGATAATGCAGACTACAAGGATGCCTCTCCCACCCATCTCTTGTTCTTTTCTGCCCTCCTCCAATTTTTACTTGGGATACTTCTCTTTCACTATTTCATATTTAAATTATTTGTGTTTTATAATCTCTGCTCCTAATTAAAAGACAAATTATGGACTTTGTGCTCTCTCTCTCTCTCTGTGTGGAGAGAGAGAGAGAAAGAGAGAGAGAATCTGAACCAATTTCAGTTGGTATTATTTAAAGTGCAGTTACATTTTGTCCTTCTCAGCAGTGAGACATTCCACATTTCATTTTCAATGGAACAGGGAGGAGGATTACAGCATCTTCACAATATTTGCTTTGTTTACAATTATGCAAGCTATATTTGGAGGCGAAGAGCTACCTATCTTCTATGGTTCCTCCTCCTTCGGAACAAAACCCCACAACTATAACAGATGGTACTGAATTTTTTGATCACAGTTCCCAACATTGTTCTTAATTTAGAAACAGCTGCTTGGGACATACTAGGGCTGGCACTCTACTTTGATCAGAGCAACTGGGGTATATGTATATGTGTGAGTTTTTCTGAAATCCTCTAAACTTCTACTAGACCTTCTGAAGGAAAATTCAGACTTCTATATTGTTTCTTTTTTCTCTTCGCAAGGTTAATAGCCTTATCCAAGGAGCATCCTTCTGATATCTGTGGAAGATTCAGTTTCCTCAGTATACAAATTCTTGCTTTTAAGAGCCCAAGGTCCTCTAAATATAATTAGTGCAGATGCTATAAAACAATATTTTTTAAAAAGGGCTTTGCTTCACAATATCAGCTAATGCCAAATGCAAATTATCTTCCTTTTCCTTTAGCAACATGTCTTTTTAATGGCATTCACCTATCACAGTACTGACTCCCCTTCCCCTCAAACACACAATAAATGCCTATTGGTGGGTGGTGTAGGACATTTACAATCACTGACTGGATGTATAACACTCTGAACTCAGCCACTGTAGTCAATTCAAAAAAATCATGACCAATCATCATACTCTAGTTCAGGGGTAGGCAACCTTGGCTCTTTTATGAGTTGTGGATTTCAACTCCCAGAATTCCTGAGCCAGCATGGCTCAGTTTGGAAACCTCTCCCTTTCCCCTCAGCATGGCTGGCTCAGGAATTCTGGGAGTTGAAGTCCACGAGTCATAAAAGAGCTAAGATTGCCTACCCCTGCTCTAGTTGAATCGAGTTGCTCAGTCAATTTTTTGATAATATCCTTTTTAGATAAAGTTGTTAACAAAATACAGATTCTAATATCAGCACTAAAATAGCTATGCTGGAGGAAATGAGCTGTGCTGACTCGCAGGATTTGGGAGGAATAATGTGCACAAACAGTCATAAATGAGAAATGAGGAGGAACAGTGGAGTCAAATCTCTGTTCTGCCACAAGTATTGCACCAGATGGGATTGTGATGTGCATAAATGTGTGTATATATAATTCTGGGCTAGCAATAATGCTGACGTTCTTTTAAAAATATCCTTTTTGTTAAAGATTTTGGTGAATTAAAATATCAAAGAATAAGACCAAGCTGCCTATCTCTTTATTTATCTCTTTAGGAGTTTTCTTACTTCTGCCATCCAAATCCCTCCATCAAAATAATTAAACAGATCTTAGTATAGGTGAGAGAAGAGAGAAAACAGTGAATAAATTCCGCAACCTGGTCCAGATGCAACTGAGCTATGTTTTGTCTGAGTGACAACTTCCTCAGAAATATAAAAGAGATAATGCCATATCAGACGAAGAGCTTTTCTTTAACCAGTTCAACTCTTGTGACATTCTGGAAATATCCATTAATTTTCTTCTGGCAATTCAGTAATGGCTTTCATTATTTCTTTGGGGTGTTTTTTTTAATGTCCCAATCTAATATACAGCCCTGGAAGTTTTCAGGGTATCTCTTATGAAGATGATCAAATCTAACCTTGCATATATTTTCAACGTGGGCCAAGCTTATCTAGGGGAGAGGTAGGTTAGATAAAAAAAGAGAATAAAATTGAATGAGTTTTTTTATTTTATTATTGCAATAAGCTAAGAAGGTAGGCTATGTGCAGAAAGAGTTAACTAGCCTACAATCACCCAGTATCAAGATTCATACAATATATTAATGTCTAAACTAAAACAAGTTTGGGCATTTGGTATTTGTGGGTCAGTTTGTTATGGAAATCCAGTCATTGTCCTAATAGGTTGTCTGAATCCAATTACTGTGTTTAGCAATACAGTATATTTTTATTATTATTGTTTAGGTTTGGGCATAATTTAATTATAGGAAACCTACAATTGTGTTTTCTATCAGGTTTACTGTGTTGTGTATGAATCCCTTGACCAATTTTCAGACTTCAATAAGAAGAGAGAAGCAGATCAGTTTATCTGCCACACATTCTAAGTACAACATATCTTTAAATAATTAATACATTCATCCAAGTCTTCCCTCTTTGTAGAAGTTACCAGCATAAATAATTGTTCTGGCATAGATTGAAATAAGATCTCCATCTACTGTTCAGTTTTAGGAACTACAGTAATAGTGAAGCCTTGCTTTGTGCCTTTCCCAACCTGATGGTTTCTGTTACATGCTTGGTTTAAACACTCTTAATGTCATAGCCAGCATGGCTACTGCTTAGGCTATCTGGAAATGATAGTTGTTATTCAACACATACAAATGTACAAAACTGTGCAAAGCTATTCCCTGTGTAGGCCACTTGCAGATTCCTAGTAGAAATAATTCATGAAATTGACATGTATTATCTTTTTATGTGAAATGTGGTAGAAAGGTTTTATCCTTTGAAAGACAAACCAAAAATATTTGAAATAAAAAAGTGGAGGTAACAACCTTCGGCTTTTTGCACCACCCTGGTAGACTAAGGAAGGGTATTCAAGTTTACTAAAGACTTGCGAAATGGCTACATGAAAAAATCCTTTGATGACTTACTTCATTTTGTTGCCTTGTGCCTACAGAGTTTTTTGATGATTATTCCGAAGGTCGGGAATGTGTCAACTGTGGTGCTATGTCCACCCCACTGTGGCGAAGAGATGGCACCGGCCACTATCTTTGTAATGCATGTGGACTCTACCACAAGATGAATGGCATTAACCGGCCACTGATCAAGCCCCAGAGGAGGCTGGTAAGGAATGTGATGCACACCTTCACAGGCTGTGAGAATCTCCTTTGTGATTCAGTCCCACCTGTCCACTATTAATATTGACCTGTAAAAAGCAAATTAGACAGAATTGCAACATTTATAAGGTTGTATATTATAACATAGTTTCGATATGGCTCTAAAGCTTATTCCTCCTTTTCCTCCGACACACAAGGAATTTGTCTCAAGTGCATAAGCTCTCAGTGTACATACAAACAACAAAATGATAAATCATAAATAATAAGATATAATAATAAATTATAAGATACCATAGGAGAAAGTAATAGGAAAGATGAGAAGGATAATAGCAATACAACCCCACTACATGAGTAAATACCCTTAGGTATAAGACAAATCTTAAGTGATTTAAATAGGCACCATTGATTTTTATTCCATCTTTTGCCCAGTTTAGTTTGTAAATTACTTCTTCAAGGCAGACTGAGAAAAGGATAGGTGATATCGTATCGCCTTGTTGTACACCTTGTTCTATGTTGATTTCCACTTAAAGATCATTAAGGCAAACTGTCACCATTATTTTTTCATATATTGATTGTAGTAAGTTTATGTAAGCAGTGTCTACACGGCTGGTTGGGCAATGCATTAATTATTGCTTGCTGGAATACTGAGTCAAACGCCTTTTTGTAGTCAGTGCTGTGGGAATTAAGTATTTAGCAAAGTATGGCATGGGGTAAAACTGTTTCTGTGTCTAGTTGTTTTGGCGTATTTTATAGCAAGTAATGATAATTAATTAAAAAAAAGATTGATAGATAAGACCACTAGTGAATTAATCAGTTATTCTTGCTTTGAACTCTTGTTCTCACACAGTCAGCCTCCCGTCGGATTGGACTCTCATGTGCAAACTGCCATACTTCTACAACCACATTGTGGCGCCGGAACGCCGAAGGAGAGCCAGTCTGCAATGCTTGTGGTTTATACATGAAGCTCCATGGGGTGAGAGGAGAAAACAAAGCATAACCTATCTATGGCAGCTTTCCCCAGTTTGAAAGTCACAGTGGATGGGAATTCTGAGAATACAAAAAACATCTGGAGGGCACCAGTTTGGGAAGACTGCTTTGTAAGAAATAGATCAAGCAGGTGGCATCAGGCTATTTCTCCCTGTGTATGGCTTCCTTTAATAAAGAGTGCAGAGAAACTGCCCCTTCTGGGCATTACTTTGAAGCCAAAGATGGGAGGGCAGAGGAGGAAAATGGTGAAAAAAATCCAATTGGGAGTTTATAGGTGTTGCACTCATAAATCTGGACGGTGTTTTTGAGGGAGGGCTGAATTTGGTCTTCAATAGAGATGTGCGCAAAGCAGTCCTTCTAGGACAGTGGTTCTCAACCTTTTTATACCGGTGACCCCGGTCATAAACACGCGGCGCGCATGTGCGGCAGTGCCCCTGTGCGGCGCACATGCACGGCGGTGCCCCATGCGCTGCCCCCTGCGCCACCCCATGCGCGGCGCACATGCACGGTGCCGCCCCCTGCGCCGGCTGAGGAAAAAAATGGCGGAAAAAATGACGGATCATGTTTTTGGCGACCCCCGTGAAATGGTCGTTCGACCCCAAATGGGGTCGCGACCCACAAGTTGAGAACCGCTGTTCTAGGACTTTTCATTCAGACAGAGTATTTTGATTTGGTTGTTGAAACAATTCAGAATACTTTGAAAGTTCTCATTTTCCAAAAGAACAAGAAGAATGTTAAGTTCTGCTATAGGAAACAGTGGAAACTGAAAACAGCTTTTGCCATCATCAATATCATCATCATCATCATCATCATCATTTTAGCCACTGTCTGTCCACAGCAAGATGAAGGCCTCTTCCACATATTTCCAACAAATATGGTCTCGAGCTTTCATTTGCCAATTGGGCCTGTTGTACTTGCTGATGTCGTTGAACCATCTTGTTTTAGATCTCTTTCATGGATGCTTTTTATCAAGTGGGATCCAATCTATGACGGCCTTGGTCCTCCTGCCATCAGTTTTTCTTGCTGTGTTATCAGCCCATTTCCATTTCAATTCTTTTACTCTCTTGATGATATTATATACTTTCGTTTGTTCTCTAATCCATGTGCGGGTCTTTCTATCTTGTCTTCTAATGCTGAGCATGTATCTTTCCATTGCTCTTTACGCCACACATAGTTTTTGTATCGATTGTGAGTTAGTGTCCATGTTTCACTGGCATATGTTACAGCAGGTACTGTATTTCCCCGAAAATAAGACCCACCTCTAAAATAAGTCCTAGCTTGATTTTTGAGGCTGGGCCTAATATAAGCCCTATCCCCAAAATAAGCCCTAGAATTGTGGTTGCCCGGGGGTGGGGGGCTGGATGTGGGCAGCTGGACATCGCTTGCATGGAACGTGAGTGAGCCTGGGTGGGGCTGAGGGGGAGGGACAGGAACTACCGAGTTTTGCATGGTACAAACAAGGTAGATCCCTGAATTAGACCCTTTCTAGTCAAGGAACAGTGTAAAAACTGAAACCACATTCACTGGTCACCTCAGAACAAATGGCTTTGGTGCAGTAACAGTATCTTCTACCTCGTTTTATACAATGCAAAATTCTGTAGTTTCTGTGCTCGGCCCCACCTTCCATCCTGGTCCTCCAGCAAGCCTGCTATCTGCCACCCCACCCGCAATGGCCCAGACTCCCCCCTGCACCTCTGCCTCCACCTGCAAAATAAGACACCGTGAAAATAAGCCCTAATCGGTCTTTTGGAGCAAAAATAAATATAAGACCCAGGCTTATTTTCGGGGAAACAAGGTAGCACACACTGATCGAAAACTTTTCGCTTCAGGCATAGGGGGAAGGTGTTCCTGAAAATTACACTTAGCTTGCTGAATGCCTGCCAACCACATTTAAGAAGCTGTTCAATTCCCTTTATTGTATCACTTTCCATTGAGATCCATTGGCCAAGGTATATGTAGTGGTCTAGTTATTCTCCAGATATATATTTTTTCTTTTTTTGGTGAATTTGTTAAACATAACCTGGTTCTTTTTCAGGTTTATTTTTAAGCCAAATGATTCTCCTACTTTGTGCAGTTCTTGTATGTGTCTTTATAGCTCTTCCAGGCCTTATAAGAAGAGAACAACATCATCTGCAAATCTTAAGTGATTTAAATAGGCACCATTTTATTTTTATTTCATCTTTTGCCCAGTCTAGTTTGTGAAATACTTTTTCAAGACAGGCTGAGAAAATGATATGTTATATTGTATCGCCTTGTTGTACACCTTGTTCTATGTTGATTTCCACTTAAAGATCATTAAGGCAAACTGTCACCATTGCTTTTTCATATATTGATTGAAATAAGTTTATGTAAAACAGTGTCTATGCCTTGTTTGAGCAATGCATTATTGCTTGCTCGAATACTGAGTCAAATGCCTTTTCATAGTCAATGAGGCATGCTGTAATCGTTGTGCCTTTCAATAACTTGCTGAACCTAAACCTGCTCTGCCTGCTCTTTTGTTGTGCATCATTTAATGTTCTGACTATTTTTTTTTTTTTTTTTTTTTTTGCTATTATCTTGGTGAAAACCTTTTGGATAACTGAAAGAAGACTTATTGGCAATAGTTCTTTAAATCATCTTGGGCCTCTTTCTTGCGTATATGAATCATTTCAGCATTTTCCCATGCATCAGGTATTTTTTTCTTCTCTGAGGTATTTTGATTATAGTTTTGCTAGTATCTTATGTAAACTGTGACTGCTAGCTTTCAGCATTTCAACCATAACACAGTCATTTCCTGAAGCTTTTCCATTTTTCATTGATTTTATGGCACTTGATACTTCCTCTACTAGGATATGTGGCATTTCCTCTTTCATGGGTGGTTACTTTTAAGTGATCTTGATCTTTGTATAGCTCTGAATAGAATTTTCCAATTATTTGTAACATTTCCTGTCTTGTTCTATGTACAGAACCATCTTCATGTTTTAATGCAAAAACCTTCTTTCTTGTATTTTTAACCTTGCATTTTGCTCTGTTAAGCCCCTTGTTTTCTTCAATTGCCTTTTTCACAAGCTTCACGTTAAACTGACATGTTTCTTCTTGGGTACATTATCTTATGGTCTTACAAAGTTCAACATACTCCAGTTTATTAGTGAAACTTTCTGTATTCTTCATTGTCCGTCATTTTTTTCATTAAATCAATAGTTTCATCAGAGATTTTTGACAGTACCAAGTGTTTTTCTGGTGGTGCTCTAGATGTAGCAGATTCAAGAATGTTTTTAACTATTTGTTCATTTTGGTCCGTAATGTTCATCTCTTCCAAATCTTGCAATAGAGCAAAGCAATTTTACAGATTAATCTCAAAATCGCTGTTCTCTTCAAACAGCTAATCACTCTTTATTTTTGTTTTTTGTGACATCTATATCATTTTCATATGCTCTTTTTCACAGTCACTTCCAATGTTAAAACAATTGGTGATAGTATAATTGCAAAATATGGTTTTATCACTTGATATGATGTAGACAATTTCACTCATGTACCCAGATGGACTCTTCCATGTTATTTTCTGCTAGCTTTTTTCTTTCTTTCTTTCTTTCTTTCTTTCTTTCTTTCTTTCTTTCTTTCTTTCTTTCTTTTTTTTACTGAAAATTTTTAAGGTTTTACAATAAAATACTCCACTCCTCCCGCCCCCCCATCACCCTCCCCCCTCCTTCCCAGAGCTGAATACAGGGTTAAAAAAAAAAGAAAGAAAAAAACAACAACAAAAAACATACAACTTAAATGAACATCAAACAATTATACATACATCCCAAAAACAAGATTTTAAATACTTTAACTCCAATACATAAAAACAAAAATTACCATTACCCTTAAACATAAGTTATTCAAAAGCTAAATAATACTTTCTAATCTCATATTTATTCTGTATAAAATTCACCCATCTTTTTCACAACAAAATATATCTCTCTTGCGATTGGTCTTTCAGATAAGCTGAAATTTTTGCCATTTCAGATAAATAAGAAACTTTAAGAAACCATTCTTCTAAAGTAGGCAAAAAGTCCTTCTTCCAATATTGCCCAATCAGCAACCTTGCCGCTGTAATTAAATTCAACATTAAAATAATCTCTTTGCCATCACAATCAACAATAATACCTAACAGAAACAATTGTGGTGTAAATTTTATCCTTCTATTAAAAATCTTTTGAATGTTCCACCAAATCTTGATCCAAAAAGCCTTTATATTTCTACATGACCACCAAATATAATAATACGTTGCATCCAAACAGCCACATCTCCAACATTTGGGCTGCACATTTGGATATATACAAGACATCTTTTGTGGATCAAGGTGCCACCTATAAAACATTTTGTAAAAAATTTCTCGTAAATTTTGAGCTTGAGTAAATTTGACATTCCTCACCCAAATCATCTCCCATGTATCTAATAAAATCGGCTCATCAAAATTTTGAGCCCATTTAACCATACAATCTTTAACTAATTCTGTTTCTGAATCCAATTCCACTTAAACACTATAAACTCTTTTTATATGAGTTCGACTTTGATCTTTAATTTGTTTCATCAAATTCACGTCTTCCCTAATAAAACCCACTTTTTGATCTATTCTCCACCTTTCTAATAATTGCCTATACTGGAACCAAGAATAATTAATATTTTCTTGCACTAATTCCTCCATAGATTTTAATTGCCAATTATTCCCTTCCCAATTAAGTAATTGTTTATAAGAAATGCTATTCATTTTCACTCCTTTCCTTATCCCTTCTATTGCGTGCCCTGGAATTCCCCACAACGGTATTCTAGAGTCTGATCTATAATATTTCTTCCAGACACGCAATAAAGCAATTCTTAAGATATGGGACTTGAAAACTCTATCCACCTTTTTATTATAAATTAAATACGCATGCCATCCAAATAATAGATCCCATCCCTCCAAAAAAAGTATATTTAAATTTGTTAAATTGATCCAATCACTAATCAATGTTAAAACCACCG